AGAGCAGCAGCCTCGCTAGCACCTAGAGCAGCAGCCTCACCAGTACCTAGAGCAGCAGTCTCAATGCCCGGGTCGGGCGGAAAACACCGGTAACAGTCACCCTCATCACTAATAGTCACAGCATACATGGCAGCAAGAATAGCATCAAAATCAAGGTCAAAGACAGCTACTCCCGCCCTAGACAGCTCGCCCCAGCGGGGTATCTTAGCGGCCTCCTGGAACTGGTGACGCCAAGCGTCCGTCAGGCGGCCAAAGCAGCGCTGGGTGGAGTGCGCACCCCCGCACTGCTCACCCGCGTGGTCGCCGGTGCGTAGGACGTAGGTGCACGGACCAGTACCCCCACCCCGCTGGCGTGCAGCGTACCACTCACGGAGCTGCTGAGGGGGGGGGATGTCACGAGTGCGCTGCTGCTGCTACTGCTGCTGGCGCTGACCACCACCGGAGCCGACCCTCTGCGCAGCGCCACCCCGACCAGCTCCACCTCCTCCGCCATCGCCTCCTCCACCGCCGCCACCTCCGCCACCTCTGCTCCCACCGCCACCACCGCCGCCGCCTCCGCCTCCACTGCCGCCACCGACACCTCCACCCCCGCCACCACCCCCACCGCCACTCCCACCCCCTCCGCCGCCTCCACCTCTGCCTCCACCGCCCCCGCTAGCTCCTCCAGCGCCCCTTCCCCCCTTGCCCTTGCCAGGGCGGCGTCTCCCGCTAGGGGTAGACGCCGCACCGACCGACTCAAGACCAACGAGTTCGGCCGCAGCAGCAGAGGCAACAGAGGGCAAAAGGGGGGAGGGGGAACACCCCTCAAAGATGGGGGCTCGAGGGTCACCACGAGAGGCTCCTACAGCTACTATGCTCTTCTCTGCTGCTAGGAGGGCCTTCTCGAGGAGGTCAACGGTGAGAGTGGTGGGGCAAACTGAGAGGAAGTGGTCCCTGACTACGCGAAGGGAGTCAGAGAGCCGGGTGACTATGTAGTAGAGGGTGATGTACATGGGGGGGGGGGGGGGGGGTTCTTGGCGCAGAACTCAGCAGGAAGCGCAGCGCGGTAGCGAGTGTCACTAGTGCGGAGGTGCGTAATGAGGTCAGCGATTGTGGGAAAGGCAGCAAGGTCAGGGAAGAGGTACGGTAGCATGAGGCGCCTCAGTGCAGCAGTGGCAGGGGAGGAGTAGCGTGCAACTACAGCGTTGTACAAGGTTTGAGCACTCTTGTACTGACTAAAGTGCGCACGCTCAGTGGTAGGCAGGTGGCGACGCACAGCAAGACGTGCAGCAGCATCGCGTGTGGCCCACTGTGAGCGAACAGTGGCGTTAGCATCAGTAGCAGGGGCAGGAAAAAAAAAACGGTGGGTTCTAGGAACAGTTCCCACAGGGGAACCTGCTCTATACCATGTGAAATTGAACGAGAATGAAATGACTAAGGGAAAGTTGGGTACAAGTACAAACCCTAGAAAGCTGTACCCCATATGTGTTACCCCACTATAGTCTAGAGTAGCTATGTCATATAAATCTGACACCTCTGGCCACGCGTCTCTCGGCCAGAGGCTTCACTGACCAGTCTTTGGACCGGGTCCCCTGGTGTTGCGTCGAGGTTTCGTGTCTGGGGTTGCTTGGCTCTTGTTCGCGACACTTCCGCGGACAAGCTCTCGCCTCGCGCCGTTCCCTGTATCTTCCTTGGTTTCCCTGAGGACTCCTCTGACTTCACCTTCTACCAACCTCCCTCTCACCGGTTCTTTGACTCCCGTGACGTCCGTTTCGAGGAGTCCACCCCCTACTACGTCAGGTACCCCAATCGAGGTCTCCCGATTCCTCCTCCCCCTCTCTTCCTGACTTCCGCTCCCCCTCCTGCTCCCCCGGTACAGCCTCCCCCCCTGGTCCCGCCCCGTCAGGTGTGTCCCAGGCTACCCCTCCCCCCTTGGTAGCCCCTCAGGTGAAACCTCCTTTCCCGCAGTCCTCCTCGCAGCCTGCTGCGGACCCTGTGGGAGCCGGTGCTCGTGGAGAGGGCCCTACAGGTGCTAGCTCTGGGGGTGCTGGAGTTGAAGCTGAGCCTGTGGTTGCAGGGGACTCTTGTCTTCCGCGAGCTGGTGCTGGCCCTGCTGACTTTGGGGGTGCTACGTCTGGGGGTGCGGGTGCACCCTCTTCGGGTCCTCCGCTTCCTCCTCCTGACCCCTCTCCAGCTGTTTTCCCTCGTTCTCAGTCTTCGTTGTCCCCTCCTCCTTCTCAGACTTGGGCCTCTCGTCGCTCCCCTTGTGCTCGTCCAACGTCCCCTGTTCCCTTCACTGACCTTTGTACTGCCTTACTTCGTTCTAGTCCGCCTCGTTCGTCTCCGTCTCTCCTTCCGTCTCCTCCTGAGTCGGCCTTCACTGCTTTGCTTTCTACTCTTGTCACTGACTACTACCGCAGGTACCGTCCTGTTCTCTCTCGTGTTCTCGCCTCTCTTGTTACCCACCCTCGTGCCTCTGTCTCCTCTATCTCCGCTCTTACTGCCGCAGTCACTGAGTTTGCCTCTACTCGCCGCCTTGACTTCGCCACCAGTCTTGTGGCTGCTCCTCCTTCCAGTCCTCTGGCCGTCGGGGGTGTGTCTGCCCTTGGTTGTGACGCCCTAGAGGATAGGCAGTTTGAGCTAGAGTTCCTAGCAGCCACTTCCCCTCATCTCTGTGCCATGCTGCTCGCCCCTGAGGGAGACCCCGACGCCCTTGACATACCGACTCCTCACACTTACGCTGAGGCAGTGTCAGGGCCTTGGGCCTCTCAGTGGAGAGCTGCCATGGACGCAGAGATGGCCTCCTACAGATCCACAGGCACCTACGTCGACGAGGTTCCCCCCCTAGGGGCGAACGTAGTCGATGGCATGTGGATCTACAGGGTGAAGCGGCCACCGGGATCTCCTCTGGTCTTCAAGGCGCGCTACGTGGCTAGAGGTTTCAGTCAGCGCGAGGGAGTTGACTTCTTTCAGACCTTCGCGCCCACCCCAAAGATGGCCACTCTTCGGCTATTACTACACGTAGCGGCACAGAGAGACTACGAGTTACACTCTCTCGAATTCTCCACTGCGTTTCTACAGGGTAGCCTACACGAGGAGGTCTGGCTGCGTCGTCCCTCTGCCTTCGCTGGCACTTTCCCTCCTGGGACCTAGTGGAGGCTGAGGCGACCGGTCTACGGTCTCCGTCAGGCTCCTCGTGAGTGGCACGACACCCTTCGTTCTACTCTCGCTGACCTTGGTTTTCAGCCGTCGTCTGCCGACCCGTCGCTGTTCGTTCGTCGTGGCTCCACACCGTTCTTTATTCTAGTCTACGTCGACGACATGGTTTTCGCCACTGCTGACAGGGTTGCCTTGGCAGACGTGAAGTCCGAACTGCAGAAGAGACACACTTGCACTGACCTTGGTGAGCTGCGTCACTACCTTGGCCTGCAGATCACCACTGACAGAGCTGCTCGCACCATTACACTCTCACAGCCACACATGGTGCAGCAAGTCCTTCAGCGGTTCGAGCTTCAACACTCCACAGTACAGCACACACCTCTTGCTGTTGACCATAGACTCACTCGACCCTTTCCTGACGAGCCGTTTGAGTCCAGTGGTCCCTTCGCAGAGCTAGTGGGCTGCCTCATGTACCTGATGACTTGTACTCGCCCACACCTCGCCTTCCCTCTCAGCGTCCTTGCCCGCTTTGTTGCGCCAGGGAGGCACCGTCGTGTTCACTGGACGGCAGCTGTGAGGGTGGCGAAGTACCTAGCGACGACATTAGGCGTGGGGCTAGTTCTTGGAGGGCAGCAGCCTGTCATACTTACTGGTCACTGTGACTCTTCTTACGCTGACGACGCTAAGACTCACAGGTCTACTCAGGGGTACTGTTTCAGCTTGGGTTCTGGAGCTGTTTCCTGGCGGTCCACGCGCTCCTCTTCGGTCTCGACCTCTACAGCTGAGGCTGAGATCTACGCCGGTGCCATGGCGGCACAGGAGCTGCGTTGGTTGACGTTTTTGCTCGCTGACCTTGGTGAGCGGCCGAGCTCTGCACCGACCTTGTTCACTAACAACAAGGCGTCGATTCTCCTTTGTCGTGAGCCGCGACTGGAGAGTAGAGTGAAGCACATTAACGTCAGGTACTTTCTTCTGCGAGAGTTGCAGAGACGTGGACAGGCTCGCTTCGAGTTTGTGGAGTCCAAGGCCAACACTGCAGACATCTTCACCAAGGCGCTTCTGCCTTGTGACCACCAGAGGTGTTGTGTGCAGTTAGGTCTTGTTGACCCAGGTTCTAGTCGTGTATAGGCTTGAGTTTACTGTTTGTTTTGCTTGTACTCTTGCTATACACACATGTGAACTCTTGGACTGGCCTTGTGGCCACTGTTGCTTGTGCTCAGAGTGTGTGGTGACGTTGTGATCCACCCTGAGCTTTGTATCTTGGTGACTGGTCTTGTGACCGTACACTTTTGGTTTTGCTAGACACCCCTCACTTAGGCTATGGAGGTGTGTCAAATGTTGTAGCGTATAGTGAGGTTAGTCTTAGGGGGTACAGAAATTAGAGTTTGTCATATGTACCCCAACTCACATCAATGACATCACTTCCTTTCTTGACATGCGCTACTGTATTTGCTTAGACTTTTTTGAAAACCATGGTAATGACGTAACATGATTCTAGAACCTGGAATGGGGTGGGGGCCACCAAACAGGCGCTCTTCCAGCAATACTATGTGTTCTCAAGGCTAGAGCAGCTTGGTATCATCCTGGAGGTAATATCTGTTGATCCTGTTCTAGCAATCTTAGAGAAGCTCGCTATACCAAGCAGCAACCCCTGAGCAGCTAGCTAGGTATCATCAATGTAACTCTTGACCCAGGGTGCAGAGTTACAAAGATACCGCTTCTTCAACTGCCCCCGGCAGCAGACATAAACAGCTGCCATCCCAGCATCACACCAACTCCTCCGGACCTCATCCCCTTAGTTGATGGCACCCCTTGAGCAGCACCCCCGCACCCCCTCTCCTAGCACCTCCAGGGCGGGGCGGTCAGTCATAGAGGCCCTCCTGGTCCCACACGCCCACTAGGAACTCCACCATCTCCTGCCATGCCCCGGGCTCACCATCACCACATGCCAAGCCCCCAGCACCGAGGGGGGGGTGGACAGGGGACACGAAGGAGATGGGCGGAGGTGGGGGAAATTGGGAGGATGCGGGGAGATGGGGGAAATGGGGGGCAGTGGGAGAAATAGGTCAGATGGTTTTGAGGGGGACGGGCTAAGAAGGGAGTTAGGGTGAGGGAGAGGGAGAGGGAGAATGGACGTGGGAGAAGGAAAGAGAGAGTAGGCGGGGTGGGACAAGAGTGTGAAGAATGAAGAAGAAAGTGTGGGGGATAGAGCGGAGATACACAGAGGTAGAGATGCTGGCAGCCTGCAAGAAGAGTGAAACAGCTAGGATGGAGGAGCGAGAGACCCCAGAAAATGATGATGCGGATGACACTGACCGCTGACAAGGCTGTGGGAGGGAGGAGGGACGAGGAGAAGAGATCACAGCAGTGTGCTGACACTCACGGAAAGCACATCACAGCCGGTGATGTGTGGATAAGGGCAAGACAGAGAGAAGGTGGTAGGTGATATGTGGGAAGCACGAAGGAGAGGCGAGACGAGGGGGGAGAGTTGCAGGAGCGGCGCTAAGGAAAGGTACTCACAGGCAGAGGCACAGGTTTGGGGAAGGGACGGTTGGTGGAGAGGAGCTGCTCGTATGTGGTGCCGGGACTGGGAGGGGCGCGGGTTACAATGTGGGGGAGAGAGAGGGAGGGAGGGAGGGAGGGAGGGAGGGAGGGAGGGAGGGAGGGAGGGAGGGAAGGAGTGAAGGAGTGAGTCCGGGCGAGAGGGAGGGAAAGAAAGGTGGAGGCATGGAAGGGCGTACGAGATCAAGAGAGAAGGAGTTCGGTTCGGGGAAATGTGAGGGCTAATGCAGAGAGAGAGAGAGAGAGAGAGAGAGAGAGAGAGAGAGAGAGAGAGAGAGAGAGAGAGAGAGAGAGAGAGAGAGAGAGAGAGAGAGAGAGAGAGAAGGCCTTAGCATCCAGCCCTCTCCCTCTTCCCTCTGCCCTCTCCCTCTGAGCCTATTTAAGGGGCCCTCTGTGCCTTCCCGGCCTCATTATTTCGTGGGTGTTTCATTTTCGGCGGAGAGAGAGCGAGAGAGAGAAGGCCTTAGCATCCAGCCCTCTCCCTCTTCCCTCTGCCCTCTCCCTCTGAGCCTATTTAAGGGGCCCTCTGTGCCTTCCCGGCCTCATTATTTCGTGGGTGTTTCATTTTCGGCGGAGAGAGAGCGAGAGAGAGAAGGCCTTAGCATCCAGCCCTCTCCCTCTTCCCTCTGCCCTCTCTCTCTGAGCCTATTTAAGGGACCCTCTGTGCCTTCCCGGCCTCATTATTTCGTGGGTGTTTCATTTTCGGCGGCTCGCGCCGGCGGCCTTCGGCCGCGCGTTCCTGGTGGCAAGACACAAAACGTGGGTTCGGCTTATAAAGGGCACACACACACACAAAGGCAAGGAGCTGGGCAAGAGCAAGAGGCGCGGCATGCAATTCTACACACGGCGGAGGCCTACATCGTGTACGGCTCCGCCCCCTCCACCTCAAGCATCGAGCGCATGCACGCCGATACTGCAAGAAGGAGATGCGCCGACGACTGGAGCGTGTCCAAGGGGGTCCCGGCTTGAGCAGCCCCTACAAGATCCCCCACGTGACGGGGGAAAGTACGGGCTAAGGGAGCTACCCCGGCGGGCGCATCCGACACGGGTGCCAACGGCGACTCGAGCGATTCTGCCAAAGTCACGTAGGATCCTCGGGACCCTGGACCGAAACTGCTCGGAAAGCTCCGCGTGGCCCCACACACCGCCAGCTGCAAATTCGCCACCACCTCGCACGCCTCCGCCAGATTCAAGATCCAGCACATGGTCAGCATGGGGTCTCTCCCCGCGCGAGTGGGGGGAGGTGCAGTCAGCGCTTCGCGCGGAAACGCCGCCGGCCAGCCAGGAGTCCGGCCAACAGATAAGCGCGGCACAGAGAAGCCGGGAACCTGACGGGGGGTGCGGAACTGAGCCCTTCCCTCACGCGCGGGCTGATATTCGCGCAGCGTCGGCGCGCGCAGAGGAGCAACCTGGCCAGGGTCCACGGCGAAGGGGGGACCGTTGGTCACCTCAATGTGGACGTGAGTCGGCGCCCCACTCGCCCGGGCCTGCCTCACCACCTCCACGAACGTGTCCGCAGCGCGATCGAGGGAAGGATCCGGCTGGTTGCCATTTCCGCCTCGCCCTCCGCCTTTCCGCCAGCCCCGCCGTCCCCGGGAACCAGCCGAATGTGGACGCGGAGGGGACTGCTCGCGGCGACCCGAATCCCAGCGACGCCCAGGCGACCCCCTCCCCCACATCGCCGGAGATCGCCGCGGAGAGCGTTGCGCGGGGGATCGCGCTCGGGGTGAGCGCTGGCCTGCCTGACCACGAGGGGATGGGCGGCAAGGAGAGCGAGGACGCGCAGGGGAACGCTGATCCCCCTCCCCGCGCTGATAGTGCTCGCGACGCTCAGGAGAAGGGCGGCGAGGAGAGGGCGGTCGAGGAGGCTGACGCGGAGGCGAGCACCCGCGCTCATGCCGCGGCTGACCGTCCGGACGGTTCGACGCAACACGTGCAGGTGCCCACGAATACTCCGGCAAGGTGGGGCGCGCGGCAGGCCGATGGGGAAGTGTTTGCACCCGCTCGAAGCGGCGAACGGGCTCGCTTGCGGAGGGGTGCGCAAGGAGACGCGGACGAGGCCCGGCAGGCGCAAGCTGCGGCAGCGCGCTCTCCGCGGAACCCTCCAGCTCCGGATCCCGTCTCGCGGATGGGTCCATCACCCCCGATCGTACCGCAGCCGACGCCAGCGCCGACGAAGCGAAAACGAGACGGTCGCGGCGCCGCAGACAGGGCGCGAGGGAGCTGCTGTTGGAAGAGCAACGCGTGGAATCCGCGTAGGACGCGACAGCCGCCGCAGACGGCGAGGTAACAAGAGAGGACAAAGAGGTGGTGGAACACGAGGTTCAAACAGGCGCCGCACAGGTGCAAGCGGCTACGCGAGAAATGCGGAAAGGCTGATGCGAAACGGCGCGGAGGGCGGCGAGGAACTGCTTAGCGAGGAGGCAGAGGAGGAAGTGGAGAATGAGGAAAGTGACGAGAGTGACCCTGCTTTTAACCCTGAAAGAGAGGGGATGTTGGGAGCAAAAGCAGAGGAGGACAAGGACGAGTTGGAACTTTTGCTTCGAGGAGAGGAGCTCCCCAGTCCAAATGTCCAACGGGACCTGCCAACCGAACCACAGCTCAGAACCGAGCCGCGGGGGGAAATCACGCAAGGAGGGGAAATCGAGCCGCGACAGAGACTGGAGTTGACTCTGCGACAGCCAATAAGAATTCAGCAGCCCCAATTCCGACCCCCCCAATGCTCAAACCCGACGACCTGGCGAAAAATACTGACCTGTTCGCCCAGGTTGCCGACTGGGACATTGGCCCGCTGCGAGACAGTCGCCAACCCCCAGTCGCCCGCCACCCTCCAAAAGACCTTCGCGAGTCTTTCGCGATTTGCCTGCTGACACTGTTACTCCACCTGGCAGCCAACCCCGAGTCAGAACCTGGCTGGATGTTACTCACCTTCCTCCCTCGCTTACTTCTTCGCTCCTCGTCAGCTCGTAAGCCTGACTGGAGCGCAATGATGAACAGGCTCCTGCGATTTCGCCAAGGGCTCTAGGCCGGCCTCTACGAAGAAGCTACCGAATCGATCTCCCTCCCCCCGCAGCCTCGCCACGCACCAAACACAACTGGAATTCTCGCCAGAGCGGAGGGCCTGTCGAAGCGTGGTAACCTCTCAAAATCGTTGCAATCCCTACAAGCCACGCCCGTGTCGCCAGCCTCACCTGAAGTTCTCACGGCCCTCAGGACGAGACACCCACCTGCATCCCAACAACTACCTGATTGGCTGCACGCTACCACAGCGGAAAACCCTCCCGCTATCGAAGCCCGCGACTTCAGAAGGATCATCGCCAAGCTCCCCAAAGGAGTGGGGGCGGGCCACTCAGGAACTACCTTCGAACATCTCCGTGATGCAGCTCTAGGAAACGCCAAAGTCTTCACCCACCTCCTAGCCCTCACCAACACGGCTCTGGCAGGGAAGCTACCAACCGTTGCAGGAGAGCTACTTACCGCCTCTCGTCTTTCGGCCTTCACAAAACCGCACGGTGGGACGAGGCCGATCCCGGTTGGGGAATGCCTACTTCGGATCATCGCCAAAGCCGCTCTTTTCCTGATCGCGCCCGCCGCTAGATCTCACTTCGTCCCCCTTCAATTCGACATGGCGATAGAGGGGGGCACTGAGGCCGCTTTACACACGGCTCGTACTTACCTGGAGGTCCACCCCGCGGCAGTAGCGCTACAGATCGACCTCGCGAACGCGTTCAACACGATCGAGAGGAGAGCGGTGTTCGAGGGGTTGAGGAACGAAGCGCTCGAGAGCCTCACCCCCCTGGTCCGCTTGTCTTACGGAGTCCCCTCCTCGCTCTTCCTCAACCATGAGTTCGCAGCGGCTCCACTGCAAAGTGCCAGGGGGGTCCGCCAAGGTGATCCCCTCGGCCCCCTTCTATTCGCCGCCAGCATCCACCCCTGCCTCGTTGCGACGGCCGCGGCTCACCCGCAGGTGGTCCTACTCGCCTACGCCGACGACATCACGCTGCTCGGTGATGCGTCTGCCTGCGCCGCGGCCTTCGACCACCTCACAACCGCGCTCGCCTCCATGGGGCTCCTTCACAACCCTGTTAAGTGCGCGGCTTGGTCCGCAGCCCCAATTGACCCCGCCTCCGTCCCCCCCGGCATCACCATCTCGACCGAAGGGCTGCAAATCCTCGGCAGCCCCGTCGGCACAACGCAGGGCTGCGCCGCGGCAGTCACGGACAGGCTTACGGCAGCAGCTGAACCGCTCCCGTTGCTAGCGCAAATGGACCCGCAGCTCTGCCTCCTCCTCCTCACGCGTTGCGTCAGCCGTCGCGCCTCCTTCCTGGCAAGGACAACTCCGCTGGAGGTCCTGCCCACAGCAGAATGGTCGGCATGGGGGGAGCGGCTGCTCCACGCGTTCCTAGAGGCCGCGCACATTGTCGCGCCAAGAAGCAACGCGGAAAGGAGGCGTATTTGGCAGCAGGCAGCGCTCCCCGTTACCTTGGGGGGTTTAGGCATTACGGACCCGGCCGTGGAAGGGAGTTACGCGTACCTCGCTTCGATGGTCGGCGCGGCTCACCTCCTGCACTCGCTAGCCGACTCCCTACACCCCGCCATAGCCGCACTGCTCCCCCTTATGGACTCCGCCCCGGACTCCGCAGCAGCCCTGCCCTCGCGCCTAGCTGCAGCTGAAGCGGCCCTGCCCCCTGACGGCCTGGAGGCCCTTCAGGCTGGTAAGAGCGACCCCAAGGGACTGCAGCTCCAGCAGTCCCTGGCCCTGGCGGTCCACACCTGCCGCTACCTCCGAGTGCTGAACACGACACGGCGTATGCGCCCAAACCCCCTCTCAGGGCATGCTCAGCGGATGCAGTCCCTGCTGGGCCCGGGAGCAGGGGACTGGCTGCTGGCAATCCCACTCTCTTCTGCGCTGAGGCTGGGCCCCTCTCAACACTTTACTGCTTCCTCCTTCCGCCTAGGCCTCCCCCTCCCTGTCCCAAGGCGGTGCGACTGCCGATACCGCACCACCTTTCCTGATGACCGCCTCCCGAATCACCTTATGCGCTGCGAGAAGGGGAAAGGGAGGACTGCCACACACCATGCTCTCAGGGATGAAATCGCAAGGATAGGGGCGGAAGCAGGCTTCATGGTTCACAAGGAGACCTATGCCTACTCTCTGGTTGAAAACCTTCAAGCGGATGTCTCCATCCGCCATCCCCTGACCGGGGAAGTGTGGCTTTGCGACGTGACCGTGACAGACCCAGTGTCCTTCCAGGACAAGAGCTGCAACCGCGCACCTGGTTGGGCGGCTAGGGCGGCAGCTGCTCGGAAGGAGGAGAAATATGCGGGACGGAATGCGTGGGTGGGGTTCCACGCCTTGGCCGTGGAGACCTACGGCTACCCGTCGCCGGGGGTACTGGCTTACCTGCGGCAGTGCGCGGAGCTGGCTGCGAAGCTCCGCTACAACGCGGCCCCTACCTCTCGAGAGGCTGCCAAGCTGCTGACGGAGTACCGCCAGCGCTGGAGCGTGTGCCTCCAGAGGGCACAGGCAAATGCCCTTTGCACCAAGACCAACGAGGCCCTGGAGGCGGACGAGCTCAGCCTGCAAGGGCCGTGGGCCCCTCTCAACGAGGGGCAGCTGCACCAGCTGATCGAGCCCCCGTCCGACCACTAGGGTCGGACAGCGGGGGGAGGGGAGGGGAGTAGGTGATGGTTGATAGGTCTGCTTGTTTGCCTAGTTTGAATGTGTCTGCTTCAAACCTTTGTACCACCCTTCAGCTAACACGCGGGCCATTCGAGAGAGAGAGAGAGAGAGAGAGAGAGAGAGAGAGAGAGAGAGAGAGAGAGAGAGAGAGAGAGAGAGAGAGAGGGACAGGAGAGGGTGCCGGTGGGAGAGAACTGCGTAAGGAGGGAGAAAAAAGCCGGACTGATGCAACGATGCATGGACAGATGTGCAGAACACAGCTTGTTGTAGGTTGATTCTGAGACTCATAATCAACCCACAACAAAAAAGTAGCAGGGACAGATGAGCAGCAGAAAATATCAGAGCAATGGGGACGAGCAGGAGCGGCACCCGTGTAGAGTGGTGCAGTGAGGTGGGGAATGGTGGGAGGGCCAGAATGACTTGCAGAGCAGGGATAGCATAGTCGTGCACCGGTGTCATATCCATGTGTCCTTTTAACACCACATACCATTGCATACTACCAGATCCACTCTCACCTGATTGCATTATTTGCTGTAGCACGCCCCTCCTGCTCCGCACCACTACCCGCAGCATCATCCGCCCTCCCACCTGCCCCTTCCCCGCGTTCACCCCCCGGTACCCCCCCCCATTGCCTCTGCTCCAGTTGCGCTCGCCCCCCCGCCCCTCCCCCTGTCCTCCACTGCTGGCGCGTGTGTACCCACGTGGCAAGGCCTGATTGGGCGAAACGGAGGGAGAGAAGGGGCAAGGGAACCACACTGATTAAAGCCAGTGAGGTGTGCCGAGGGGGAGAGACAACGCCTAAAGGAAGGAGGTGGCGTGGGAAAGACCATGCTCTTTCACATTCAACGCCATTGCATTCACCAAAAACTCCTCCTTGCGGTTCCCGTCTCCTCCCTCTGGCCCATGCCACCTCCCTCTGGCCCATGAAATAGCCGCGTTCCTCTCCCACACCCACCACTCGTACAGCCACGGCACCCAACACTGCATATTGTACTTCTTCTGCACCAGAATTAACAGACTGTGGCGTCGCACCTCCCGTAGGCGCCTCTTGTGAACAAGCCCAAGAATCCACGTCTATGCAACCCACATTTCCTCACAGAAAATTACCGCACCAAAGCGTCTCGTTCCTCCAACCCCCCCACGGTCTCCTCTCCCTCCCACCCCTCCCGCCCCTTCTCTTTTCTTTTCCCCCTTCCTCTCCGCCAATCCCCTCACCTCGATTCACAAACACCCCGTTGTGCCCATCCGCCGATCCCCCCACGCCCACAGAAGCACCTGCGCGCGCTCCACCCCCTCCCCCTATCCGCTCACCCCCGCCGCCCGCGCCCATCCCCGCGCTCGCACCACCTCCGCTTCCGCCAGCGCCAGTGGCGATAGGGGACGCCGCGGAGGCAGCAGCAGCAGCAGCAGCCGTCATGTCATCGGAACTCTCGCTCCCCCACCCGCCCACTCCCCCTTTCCCCCTCAACACCCCTCCGCCTCCCCCCAGCCGCCCCCCGCGGCTAGACCTCCTGGCTAGCGCGGACGCTCTGCTTGCGGACGAGGGTGGGCGGAAGGAGTACGGGGGGAAGTGCGCGTGGGGGAAGGGGTATTGCGCGGGAGCGGACGAGGGCAAGGGGGCGGTGTCCCCAGGGGCGAGGGAAGGGGCGCGCGGGGAGAGGGAGGACGCGGGACCAGCAGAACCAGCACCGCCACCAGCACCACCGGCACTAGCTGCAGCAGTCACAGTTGCAGCGAATTCGCGTGGGTTATGCGCAGGCACTTTCTGAGCCTCTCTATCCTCCCTGTTTCCGCCTCCTTCCCTTTCCGTTCCGCGCGCCCCTGGTTGCGCGCGGGCCAGGCTCTCCGCGGCGCTGCGCCACGTACCAGAGGTCGGCGGAAGATCCTCGCTCGCCTTGCGGAACTCTTCTCTTGGGGAGGAAGCGACGAGCGGGACTGGCGGGGATTTTCGAGATTCCGCGCTGACGTCAAACCCCCCAGCCCCTAGCCCCCCGGCGTCCCCTTCCGCGTCTCCTTCGCGCTTAGCCTCAACCCCCGCCTCGCCCCCGCCTCCCCCTCCGCCGCTGCCGCCCGATCCCCCGCAGCTACCGCAGCCACCGCCGCCCCCGCTTTGCAGGTCAAAGGGGGCCGAAGAAACAGCAGCAGCAGCAGCGGCAGCAGCAGCGGCAGCAGGAGCAGCAACAGCAGTAGATCCTATTCCGTGAGATGCGTCTTGCGTTTCTGTTGCTACCTGAGCTGCCGATGCTCCTGCCGCCGCCTCCCCCCTCTTGCGCTTTAGCCCGATAGGGTCCGTGATGCCGATTATATAGCCGAAAGTACTGCTGGCGGGGCCGCCTGTCGTGCCACTAAAGGTACTACTGGTACTGCCACAAGCGCTGCTTCTAACGTTAATCCGACTGTTGCTGCCGCAACTGCCAACGTGCTGCAGTAACGACGCACTACACGCAGACGCCGCTCGTCCCTGGTCGCAACGCGACCTCCGCACGCACACTTGCGAAATTAAGCGGTTCTGGTAACAGCAACCCGACTCCAGCTGTTCCAGGCAATAGTGCCGCTGCTGCTGCTGGCAGAAATCTGGGATCAACAGCTGCTGGTGGCGGCGCGGTTGCTGCCCCGCCGATTTCGTGTGGGAGATTTCGACAGTTGAAAAGCCGCTGCTGGTCGCACGGTCGGAGACGGGCGCAGGGGAAGCGGCACGCAGAGAGAGATGAGAAAAAACGGCAAGACGATGAGAAGGGAGGAGGATACGAGAGCAAAAACAGGCATGTAAAGAGTTGAGTGCGACCAAATGTGGGGAGGGAAAGGGACGACGGGTGGGAAAGGGGGAGGGGGAGGGGGGAGGAAAGTCGAGGGGTTTGTTTGGTTCGTTCACAACGATTCATTCGGCACAGCAACGGCTACGTCGAACCATCAACCATCCTCCGTGTTCGATGTTAACGAACCCTAATCCCTCCTATGCGCGTTTCACCTGACCTGCTCCCGCACAAGACTTTCCGTTCTCACCAGATTGCCTTGTTCGCGATGCTTGCGGCTGCTACAGTCGTTACCGCCATGCAGCTGCCACCACCCACGCCACCTCCGCCGACCCTGCCGCCACCGTCGAGAAAATGCTCCGCTTCGACGCAGTTGGAGCCTTACCGCCAATGTTAAGAGCACTGATCGACACCGCTGGGATGTAGCTGCTTGGTTTGGCAGTTAACCAGGATAGTGTTGAAATAAACTGTTTTGAAAACTGTATGCTTCACACGAAGTGCTATGTGGACAGGAGGAGGTCACGACTAACGAGGTAGGATGTGAGAGATGTGAGAGGTGGGTACTACTACTGCAGCACGAAAAAGGGGTCGGTATTGGAGTACTAATATACAATCGCATAACACCCGTTGCGGAATTGACAGCTTTAGTTTCACTCACGTAAATATCAGTCTGTTTCTGCAGCCTCAGAAAGTGAAATGTTTCAAACAACCCTGCTATCAACAAACCGTTGGTAAGACGGGTCACACCAGCTTCAAGGCGTGTGGAAACTTAGGAAAGCGTTTATGGAGAAACGGAAACGGTCAGGGTGAAGAGGTCTAAAATACCGTGGGGAAAATATCGCGGCCCAGATTTTTGGAGTGCGTTGGCGAAGCGAGGAGAGAGTGGATGAGGAGGAGTACAAGCTGGACTGCTGAGATGGACAGATACAGTATCTAGGATATGTGCTGAGACGGAAAGATCTAGGTGCCGATTGGTGATTACAGATTGGACGGCAGCGATGGATGGAAGCAGAGAGATGGCTCTTGGCTTCTTGGGAGACTGAACGGAAAGGTCTGGCATGAGCTGGCCCGAGGGGATTTTGGGAGAGAATTGCTCCAGAACCTTGTTTAGTGATTCGTTCTTTCCCACGTGGCCTCTAATTGCTCGCGTGGCCATCCAACTCAGTGATAATTGCTCGAATGGCCACGCCAAGGGATTCCCGCTGGTTTTTTTTTTACCCGGCGCATTGCCCTACAAGGGTTTGTATCCCCAAAATATCTGTATTGATAATTGTGTGATCTTCATGTCAGAATCCCAACCACTAGACCATTGGGATAAAAGGGCTTGTTTCAGTAGCGGGTCAGTGCACCCATAACCCCCCAGGCGAACGCGCCTGTAACCCTCTCCAGGATCAATCGGGCATCCACAGTGCAGATCTACTGACACCCCCCCACACTGGGAGGCCCAGGACTAAGCACAGCGGCAACGGCCTACATGTGCATACACCGGGAATTGAACCCGAGACCGCTCTGATACCATGTCAGAATCCCAACCACTAGACCATTGGGATAAAAGGGCTTGTTTCAGTAGCGGGTCAGTGCGCCCATAACCCCCCAGGCGAACGCGCCTGTAACCCTCTCCAGGATCAATCGGGCATCCACAGTGCAGATCTACTGACACTTCAATATCCAAAATTTATGTTCATTACCCCATATGACCGCGCCTGATTGGACGTGCATTGCAAAGCAAAGCACCGCACATATAATCGACCAATCATGCGCGGTAATTAAAGGCCCCGCCCATTGACACACGGGCATTGCAGTTTATGTTTGCGAAAATATATGATCAGGCATTAATATATGATGCGCCCCACCATTCATGGCCGCGCATGATTCGTTGTTTATATGCACGTCCACTAAGGTGCAGTCATATAGGGTTACGAACATAAATTTTGAATATAAATCATCGCTCAAAAACCAATACAAAACTTTCGATGATAAATACCCTAGAAGGGTAAGGTTTCTTAACAAAAAAGATGTTGAGAATCCCCTGGCGAGGCCACTCTAGCAATAATTCAATTGTAGGACCACGCGAGCAAATGGTTGCCACATGGGCAACACCGAATCACGAAACAAGGGTCTGGAGCAATTCTCCCGAATTTTGGGGAGAGAAGATGGCTGCTGCAAGCACTTGTCATCACAGTGTGGGAATAGTACGAGGAATGAATCAACTAGCAAACACGTAAGTACAAGTAGGAAAACCTAAAAGTGTTGTACCCCATATTGTCTACCCCGCTACAGCCTACACAAACTATAGCATATAAGTTTGACACACCCCATAGGAAAAATGGGGAAGAACAAGAGGTCACAAGACCAGTCAAGAAGAGCAAAGCAAGCTCAGGGTGGATCACGACGTCACCACACATTCTGAGCACAAGCAAGCGGCCACAAGGCCAGTTCACATGCAGAGTTATATAAAGTAGAACAAACAAGACAATGATCACAACCTTGCAAGTGTAAGCACGCATGTGTATATATAGTGATTACAGTACAAGCAAAGTCAAGAAGTGAGCAAGTGCGGCCAAGTGGGTACAAGGCCTAGAACAGTACAGAACCGCTGATGATCACAAGGCTGAAGTGCCTTGGTGAAGATATCAGCGGTGTTGGCCAGAGAGGCCACGTAAACAAGACGAAGCTGACTACGCTGCTGCAACTCTCGAGTGCGGCCAAGTGGGTACAAGGCCTAGAACAGTACAGAACCGCTGATGATCACAAGGCTGAAGTGCCTTGGTGAAGATATCAGCGGTGTTGGCCAGAGAGGCCACGTAAACAAGACGAAGCTGACTACGCTGCTGCAACTCTCGAGCAAGAAAGTAGCGAAGAGCGATGTACTTCGTTCTATGCTCCAGTCTCTGCTCGCGACAGAAGGCAAGCATTGCCTTGTTGCCAACGTACATAACTGGAGGAGAACGAGGCGCCTCGCCCAGGTCGGTCAGCAGGTAGGTGAACCAGCGTAGCTCCTATGCAGCCATGGCCCCTGCGTAGATCTCAGCCTCACAGCTGGAGCTGATAACAGGAGACGAGCGGGTAGACCGCAACGAGACTGAACCGAAGCCAAGGCAGAAGGTGTAACCCTGTGACGACCGCTGCGTAGCCAAGTCGTCAACCCAAGAAGCGTCTGCATGAACAGTGAGAACAACAGGACCCCGTCCCCCAAGCACGAGCCCCATGCCCAACGTACTGCACAAGTAGCGCATCACCCTTAACCCTAAACCCTTAGCTGCCTTCCACTGCTCTGGTCGGTGTCTCCCGAGCGCAGCGTAGCATGCCAGGATGCTAAGAGGGTAAGCAAGGTCAGGACGAGTGCAGGTCATCAGGTACATGAGGCAGCCCACAAGCTCTAGATACGGGCCACTCGGCTCTACGGACTCATCCGAAGGCAGAGCTCAGAGCGAGTGACCTGTAGGCAGAGGCGTGGACTGTGGCGAGGAGTACTGGAAGTCAAAGCGCTGAAGGACCTGTTGCACCATGTGAGACTGAGTCAGGGTGATGGTGCGGCGTGCTCTGTCCCGAGTGATCTGCAAGCCAAGACAGCTACGCAGCTCACCCAGGTCTGTGCACGTGTGTCTCTTCTGCAGCTCCGACTTCACTAGAGTCAGGGCCTCCGTGTCAGCAGTGGCAAAAACCAACTCGTCGACGTACACGAGGATGTAGAACGGCGGCAGCGAAGGGTCGGTGCGTAGAAACAGCGACGGGTCAGCAGTAGAGGGAGCAAACCCAAGAGCCACAAGAGTCATCCTCAGTGTGTCGTGCCACTCCCGAGGCGCCTGGCGGAGACCGTAGACTGGCCGCCGGAGGCTCCACTGGGTACCTGGAGGGAACGACCCAGTGAAGCTAGGTGGGCGGCGCAGCCAGATCTCCTCGTGCAGGCTGCCCTGTAGGAAGGTTGTGCTGAAGTCAAGAGAGTGAAGCTCGTAGTCACGCTGAGCAGTGACGTGCAGCAGTACCCGAAGAGTGGTCATCTTACAGGTGGGAGAGAAGGTCTGAAAGTAGTCAACTCCCTGCCGCTGACTGAAGCCTCCAGCCACGTAACACGCCTTGAAGACAGGCGGAGAACCCGGCGGACGCTTCACCCTGAAAATCCACATGCCATCGACAATGTTCGCCTGTGGACTTCCAGGAAGCCATCTCTGCGTCCATGGATTTTGCCACTGAGAGGAGTAGGGACCCTCAACCGCCTCTGCGTAAGAGCGCGGGGTCGGGATGTCTGGTGCATCCGGGTCTCCCTCAGGGGCAAGCAGCATGGACACGAGATGAGGTGAACCAGCAGCAAAATACTGGAACTCCTCCTGCCTATCCTCAAGGACGTCCGTGCCAAGGGCACACTCACCCCCGACGGACGGAGGACAGACAGACTCAGACTCAGCAACAAGACTAGCGGTATAGTGTAGACGACAGCGAGCAGCAAAGTCGACAAGCTCAGCAACAAGAGCAGACGCTGCAGTGGACTCTAAGGAAGGGTCAGTGACAACAGTGCCCTGGAGCCGCGTGACAGTAGGACTAGCAGCACGAAGTGAGTCAGACTCCGGGTCAGCAAGGGCAGGAAGAGAGGACGCAGGAGGAGACCGCAGAGGGAAACGTTGCGGATCAATGGAAGGACGCAGTGCCATCTGGTGTGTGCCAGGGACAGGAGGAGGACGCTGACGTGAACCACGACGACCAGTGCGAGTAGCACGAACAGGCGACGCAGGGCGAGACGCAGGCTCACGACGCTCAGCAAGCCCTCCGGTCGGACAAGTGTAAGGAGAAGGGGCAGGCAGGGGGGAGGCGGGCTGTAACTGTGACTACGACTAAACAGGCGGTGGACACTCAAAGGAAGGAGCAGGATCAGTAGAAGGCGGGAGACGAAGAACCTGTTGAAGGAGCGGAATGAAGTACGGCCGTGGGCGCGCAGCGCCTCCAGAACTAGCAGGGACAGCACCAGCACCCCCAGTGTCAGCTCCAACTTCAGCAGCACCACCAGCTCCAGGAGCACCTCCAGCAGCTCCAGTAGCGCCACCTCCAGCACCCTCAGGAGCACCGGCTCCAGCAGCACCTTCAGCTCCAGCACCTCCAACAGCTCCAGCTCCAACAGATTCACCAGAAGCCCC